CTCGAACCAGGATATTTCTCTAAATCTTACCAGACCGTAGCCATAGCCATGTCACAACATTAAACCAAAATAAAACATTAGCACACCCAAGACTAGCGTTTAGCATTTATGTTATGTGCTAGCTACTGAAGGCAAGTTAACCGACATGCTGCTTTTACTTTTTAATGTACTTTTTTAAGTAAGCTGACTTTAGACGTTTGACCGCCGCTGTTGCCGAGCCTCCCTCCACGCTGACTGATGCGGTTTACCTCTTTTAATACCTGAGAAACCTTCATAATCCCGCTAATCTGTCTGCTGGGCTCCGGGCCCTGAAGCCTCTGCTGGCCGTTTGCTGTGCGCCGCCATGCAGGAGAAGGCGGCTGCAGATACGTAAAGGTCCGGGCGGGGATTCCTGGAGATGTGATTGTAACCGTTGCGGCTGGGAAGGTGTCGAGGTGAAGCTGGTTTCAACTTCCTTGTGTACATTCGGGTGGTCCTGCCTCGGCGGTCGGGTCCCTCCGGAGGATCGGCGGACGGGTCTGAGGGTTTGTGAGATGACGCGAGAGGAAAGAAGGATCAGAATTCAGTCGGAGGTGCTTCGTTGTTTCTTTTTCATTTTGGAAAAAAAATTATCTCCACTTAAACTTTTCTTATAGTTTTTAATTTCAGTTAACCACCTGAACTCCCACCCACAAACAATTATTAAAAGACAGAATACACATTTTTTAAGTTTAGTTGTCAGCATTGATGAGTAGAAGCACAGTAGATGTCACCATGTGCATTTATGACCCATAGACAACAGGACACACGGGGACGGCTGGAGGGGATGAGAACTGCTCTTGTCTCTGACACTGCAGGAATGTCACTAAACTTTTCCCAAAGTCTCGGTCTTGACTTCACTCTCTGTGCACTGTGGACTCGGCCCCTTGTCTTGGTCGACGTTTTATTTTTAACTTTTCTCCCATCTTTTCCAGAGGAGTTTAACTGCTGAAGTTCCAAATACAAAGTACTCTGGAGGCACTTTCATTTTAATATTCAGCTTTTAACAAGTGGCTTGAACGCACTCCCGTCCTCTGATCCTGTGTTTCTCCACTGGGAGTTTAGATAAAGAGCGGAAAATTCTCCCCCCCCCCCCCCCCCCCACCTCCTGCTCTGGACTTTCTCACTTCAAGCCAGGTATTTTTAGCTTTGACATAATGCCCCTCTATCTCTCTCTCTCTCTCTCTGTCTCTCTCTCCCTCTCTTTCTACCTCTCTCACCCGCGGACCGTCCCTCCCCCTCAACTGCTCGCCCCTCTCCTCCCTTGCCCCCCCATCCCTCTCTCCCTAGCTTCCAGGCTATGGTGCTAGCTGCAACAGTAAGTGAGTGCTCAGGTTTCACTCGCTCGGCTGCAGGCTGAGGCAACATGGCAGTGGAGGAGGCAGCAGACTATTTGGCAGAAGTAAGTCTCTTCTGTCCGTTTGGTGTGAGGTCACAGGGCTCTCTGACTGAACCAGATGTGAGGGGGCAGGGGGGGGAAGTGGCGATGCAGCCCGATGGATTAAGTGATGTTGCGGTGCGGAGACGTGGTCGGATGAGGTGGGACGCTGAGAGGTCGGAAGGGTCGTTGATGGGACGGTTCGCAATGGGAACTCCGCTGCACCACTCTGCTGCATTGTGCGTGGATGAGTGTCTGTGTGTGGGCGAGGTGGGGGGTGGAGGGAGGGTGGACGTCATGTCTTTTTTGCATTCTCAACTGCTTCCGCGTGGTTGTATGTTTTATATATTCCTGTGCGTGTGCTTCTGTGCATTGTGTGTTTTGTGTGTGGACACCGTGTTGTGTTGCAGAGTGATGTGGATGGAAGCACCTGACCTTGGAGGCTGCTGTGTCTTGTGTGTTTGTGTTGAAATAGGAATTAAAGAGCCAATGGAGGGAGGAGTAAAAGATACAAGAAAAACAAGAAGAGAGAAATTGAAGCTTTTAATAGGTTGATTTCCTAAATCCTCTCAGTGAGGGACAAAGACATCCCAAAAGTCTCCCTGCACCTGCTGATATGTGATATGCAATATGTGCTCACTCATCGTTGGCTTACTGCAGCGGCCAAAGCCGCATTTTAATGAAAGTCAACTGGGACTTCGACATTTGTCTGCAAATGAATCCAAATAGGAAGGGTCCTGTTTGCTTTAGTTCTAAAGGAGGTTTTGCTTGCAGTAAACAGGTGTTTATATACAGCTCAACAACATGCAAGCAGCTCCCATGTTGGAATGTGTGTAACCGGGTTCTGGAAACGGAGCGACTGGAGCATTCTTTGAATGTCTCACACTGGAAAGGACAGATGTCCCCACACTGCTGACACAATCCGACACCGAGCCCAGATTATTCTGAGCTCTGTTTTTTTTTAATTTTTATTACAGATACATAATGAACTACATTACAGGACAACCATTGTTTCCGCTTTAATAAAGACATAATAGTAATATGATGAACTTTCTGTGAGCCAGAATCAGAGCTCAGAAACCTGAGAGGCATGAAGAGGAGGAGGAAGAAGATGATGATAATGATGATGATGTGTACACATGTGCACTGCTTGGTTTGTTGTTGCTCATCTCTACAGTTATGAAGCTGAAATGATTTCATCCTCTATTCATAGCGCATGCTGATTTCTTTCACTATGTCTTATTTTTTCATAATTATTTAGTCATGAAATAGACATCAGAGAGAGAATTCTGATGTTTTCAACTTCCTAACTTTAATAAAACTTTTACTCTTAACAGCTTATAAAACGTTATTGTGAGTAGTAAAACATGTCATTAACAATAACACACCTTTTTTAATTTCCTAATCATTTTTTATTTTGCGTTTTGTAGAAATAATCAGTAATGATGACTATAACGTTAATGTTTTTTTCATTTGGAATGTCTGAGTTTATGACTGTCTAGAGTCTTATATTTTTATTATGATAATCCATGATCCATCTAACTACATCTGCAGAAAAAAATATATGCTCCTTTTTCTTTTCATCTGATAACATCTGTGACTGAAAACCAAGACGGAGTCCAAACTGTGAGTGTTTGCCATCAAGTGTCCGCATGTAGTTTCAGGATCTGCTAGTTTGCGTCGCAGGTCTTTAGGACGAAGTTTGACTTTCTGGTTTTGGTCAAGTTTTGCATCATAAAAGAAACCATGTTTATTAAACAGGGACATCATACAATACTTTTATAGTTATAGAAGAGATATGATGAAGAATAATATCATCAGTTAAATGAATGTTTAGGAAGTTGGAGACGCTCGGCTGGACTTCAGTGCTCTTTACTTTGACTTCTTTGTCGACGCTTTGAACTGGCATCCTGAAAATGCTCTTGAGTTGCGAGCAGCCTGGCGCCTAATTTAACTTAAAAGGCTTGGCACTGTGCCTTTAAAGCGCTCTCAGGGTTTGAAAACCCAACCACAGGTTTTGTTTGTGATACGTTTTTCGTGGCTGAAGCGTGTGCCACTGTTACCATAGTTACTGCGACCTGTGAAAAATATATATTTGTTTAAGCGTTGCATTTGAGGGCGGGGCCAACAGAGTTACAGCATCTAATGATTCAGCGAAATTAATTTGGAAAAAAGTACTAATATATGCAGTTTACTGCTAATAGAACATTGGCCTATTCCTGTTTGTCTCAAAGTATAGTCATGCAGTTGAAGCAGTTTCCTGCTGTGATTTGTTTGCGTGCAGCGAGGTCCCACGAGGGATGAGTTGAAGAGTGAACGACACCCAGAATGCACATGAACACCGATGCAGCAACGACAATGAACAAGAAGTCTGTTCTGTCACTCCCAGTGGCGGCCATTCCCCAGTTAGAGCGTGATGTCATGGCCTCCGGTAACCCCCCCCCCCCTCCGCTCGCCACAAAGTGCACGCTGACACCAGAAACACTCTTTGTCTGTTGGCGCGTGACGGTGAACTGAGATTAGGTCCTTTCACCGAGTGGGAAGTGAGCTCACTGTCGGCTTTACTCAACAATCCGTCTGCGACAACACGGATCGCGGTGCAGCGAGCGCGTCCAGACGCTCCGTGACAACCAACAGCGGCCCGTTAAATCACCGGCTAAACCCGTTAACACCTCCTGGTCGATCCAACGTGGGGTATTTTAAGAGAAATCCCATTGGCATTAATGTATAAGAATAAAAACAGTTGAACGCTACTTACTATGAGACTAAAAAGCTTCAGCCTTCCTCCTAATGTCACTAAAATGTTTTAAATATAAAGTTTTTCCCTTCAATTCTCACCATTGCATTATTAAAGTCATTTAAATCCAGATGACTCTGCGTGATATATTTGGTCTAACTTTTCTCATCTCCATCACTATTTAAAATAAAGTTTGACGTCTGATGAATACAGTTTATGCGTCTGAACTTAGCTCCCTTTCTGTGAGTTGAAGAATATTGTAGGTTAACTTGCTCGTGTTTTATCTTTGGCCCGACTGAATCTCTGCACTGCGAACATGAAATCAGAGACTCACACTAATGATCTCCCTTCCTTCCTTCCTGTTTGTCCTCGACACATTTTAATCCAATCGCTCTGATGCATTCGATGTTTCTACATTTAGTTCTTTCACATTATGCACTTAAAACCATCTTATGAAACGGATAATTAAATCCCTTTTTTGTAGTATTTGATTGGGTCACTTGTGCTGCTGTAACGTGATGAGGCTTCACTGCACCCTCAAACCAGGTATTCAGCTTCTCAGCACAGTATTTAGCTGATTTTCATAGCAGCTAATGACACAGAAGCCTTGAAGGATTTAGTCAGCACGTCTCTGATTACAGGGATTCATATAACACAAGTTCTAAAATAACAGACTACCTGGGAAAAGCTCCGAGCAATTTAAGATCTTGAGTTTCTGTCGTTGAATACTCGGTGCTTTGTCTTTTTGCTCTGACCGAGCCGAGGTTTCGTGTGTCTTGGTTCAGACATCCGCCTGGTTTCCCTTTCGTCTCTCTAACGTGACGACCCGCTCACCTTTCTCTCCGCCCCCCCCCCCCCCCCCCGCAGACGGACGTGAACGCCTGTTACCTGAGATCCGCTCGGGCCGGGAACCTGGAGAAAGCGCTGGACTACCTGAAGAATGGAGTCGACATCAATATATGCAACCAGGCGAGTTACGCGATCACGCGCCGTCCTCCGAAGAACAAGAGTGAAGATATAAAGCGGCGCGTTGTTGATTAGCATCACAACAGCACTCTGAAGTGTGGTAAAATAGAGCAGTCCGTTCCTATCAAGGTGCGTCCTCCTCACCTTCATGTCGAGAAAAAACGGTAGTACAAGCTGAGAAGGAACGTCTTGGTTGATCCGTCTTTCACTGTCTTGAATTAAAATGGTTAAAATTAGCGGGTTTACCTTATCAATTTTTATCAATTTTACCATATGGGGAAAAATTGATCTTATTAAGATGATGGTGGCTCTGCAATTTAACTACATTTCCATGATGATTCCAGTAATACCATCTCTGAAGGGATCTTTAAAGAATATAATCACTTAATTAAGGGATTTTTATGAAATAACAAAAAACCTAGAATCAGTATAAAAAAGCTCTTTGCCTCAAGAGATAATGGAGGCATGGCTCTTCAAATATGGAATTATATAGTATGGCATTTAAAAATGAACAAGCTGGGCAAATGATGGACCTGAACCACCGTGGGTAAACATGGAAGTGATACTACCAGGTTACAGACATACTATCACAAAAAACCCTTGGCAATGAGATTAGGGAAAATGTATGGCAGGAGATCATATGGAAGGTAGGCGGTGATACAACGGATGCAAGAAGCAAGTGCATCCGTTATAAAATTCTACATAGGTATTATTTCACAGCTCATGAAATGGGATTAATGCAGGATAATACATGTCTCTCTCTCTCTCCCCCTCTCTCCCCCTCCAGAATGGTCTGAACGCTCTCCATCTGGCCTCCAAGGAGGGCCACGTGGAGGTGGTGGCTGAGCTCATCAAGCGCGGCGCCAACGTTGACGCCTCAACCAAGGTGTGTGCGCGTGCCGCCCAGGAGTCAGAAAACACACACGCGTCTCACACACACACACAACACACACACACACACACCGTGGTTTGCATCGTCAGCGGCCTCACAAAGTCACATTGCTTAAGCAGCAGTAAAGCAGATGAGTGTGTGAGCAGAGAGGCTGAACTGATTTAGTGGAAGGAAACCCGATCGGCGACAGTTTTGCCGCGTAAATGTTACTATGTAATGAATGAATGAGAGTCTATTTAATAAATTAGACAGTGACTCCAAACGGGAAGTACACCGATCAAGACTAAACCTCCTGCTTTGGTGGAAAGTACTTTAATTAAGTTCTTAATCATTTATATTTATACTTCTACACTAAGAGGTAAGTGTTGTTTTTTACTCCTCTGACAGCGTTGTTAACTTTGTGTGGGGAGTGTAGCTCAGCGGCATTTCCTTCTTCCAAAAGTCAGAGAGAAATGCAGAGATCAGATTCCATGTTTGTGGCGTATTTGAAGTGAACCTTCCTGTACAGTAGAGAACCACGTATCTCCAGATGCGCCTCACTCAAACCCAAACACGTAGCATGTCGCGGGGTAGTTGAGTAGCACGACTGGAAAAGGAGATGCGGCGGTGTGTGTGTGTGTGTGTGTGTGCGCGCGCGGAGTCTCCAGTGGCAGCAGGAGTGACAACACAGCTGCAGCTCAGCTGCTAACGCACAACAGGTGCCTCCATTAGAGGTTCACTGCATGCGGCTCGCTCCTCTTCTCTGGGGGTAAGATGGTGTTTCCTTCACCAGAGAGCTCCACATTCCTTCGACCTTCCCGTCACGAAAAGGTTGATTGAAATGTTTCAATATCATGGAATCTAAACGTGAAGTGTATTTTGTGCCAGAGATCTTGAAGCAAAAACCACAAAACTGACACTGGAGACACATTAAATAACATTGTAGGACAATTTGTGTGCAGTATCGTCGTGATGATTTGTCCCCCCGTCGAGTAGCAAAAGTACTTCAATACACCTTGAAGGCGTGTTGTACCGTATTAAAAAATACATGTCAAACATACATTGATAGTGATAAAGTTACTTTTAGTGGATTTTTCTATCTGCAGCAGTCAGCCAATTGGCTGCAGGCCCCAGTTTTTCTGCTCATAGCGTAGATCTCTAGATACACTTTGCTAAATTAGAACCCACGCAACTGTGCCAAATAGCTATTAGCGCTTCCTGTTTCACAGGAATACTTCAAAAACTGACAACACAGGCTGCTGTGAGCGACTTTCCGAACTGGTTGATCTACGTTCAGCCTGGGATGATGTCATCGGGAGATTTAGACACGCTGTGTATATCAATACATGCGTCATATCTGTGTGTGAAGGTCGGACTGGGCTGTGATTTTGGGAACTACTTTACGCTCACGTTGAAATATAAAAAAAAGTCTAAAATGTTTTCTCTGTTTTTCAAAGCAGAAAGGAAACACAGCCCTCCACATCGCGTCCCTCGCTGGGCAGACGGACGTGGTGAAGGAACTCGTGACCCACAACGCCAACGTCAATGCACAGTCTCAGGTACGACAAACACACACACACACACACACACACACCCCACACACACACACACACAGCTCTCTAATAAAATACATTTGAGTGTGTGTGATCACGCAGATACATTTGAATGCAGCTATTGTACACTTAGTATCAGTGTGTGTGTGTGTGTGTGTGTGTGTGTCTGTGTGTGTGTGTGTTTGTGTGTGTGTCTCTGCTGCGTCAGCAGCTCTGCAGTGCTTCCTGGCCCACATTCGATCGTCAGCACACACACTCACATATAGTAACCACAGCAACCATAAAAATGTCGATGTCAAAGCCTCGTCGCAGCTGCAGAGAGAAGGAAAGAAGTTATTTTTATTGTTTGGTTCTGAAGCTCATTTATTGTGATCTATCCTTATTTTTTATTAGGTTTAATTTGTTTTAATTCAAAGCAATATCGTGCTCCAAAGTTTTCTTCTTTTACTCTTCTTAACACGTTTTTTTCCCCAGCGCGTCCTACGTCCTCCCTTTGTTTGATTGAGATGAAATGTTTGATGAGAGAACCTGGTGGAGCACTGACTCCAGAATGAATGCACCAAATAGGACGGTGACGAGGAGGAGGAGGGAGCTTTTTTTGCTTATTGAAGTGATTTTTGAATCGTCGTGTTGCTATGGAGATCTGGCCTAGTTCTAGTTCTAGTGCCCCCCGCTCTCACACACACACACACACACACACACACACTCACGTGAACTGCAGCCCGGGTCAGCTGTTATCTCTGCTGTTATCAGGTGTGATGTATGTGCGGAGGCGACGCTTGTCTCCATGATGCCTCTGCTGCAACACTCGTGAGCAGCCGCACAGGTCGCAGCGGAACAAAACTTCTTGTTTACAACAGCCGGCCGTCATGGTTCTTCGTATTCAATTAGGAAACCATTTATAGATTAAAAATGTCCGTTTTCAGCTGACCCAGTGAATTACAGGCATGACAAATGAAGCTGCTTCATCTCGTGAATGCAAAGCATTTTATAAATACAATATTGCCTTAAAGCCACTTGATGCAAGTAGAGTAATAAGATAGATCATTTACATTATTTCCTTTACTCTACATGTGACATATGTTGCTAATAGCATGTGCTTTAGCTAATACGTGACTTTACAATGTACCTCAACTCGGTAACAATAGGGCAGCTTCCAGTTTGTTCTCTGGAGGTCATCTAAAACTTTAATGAACTACATCTTCACAAGCGTATGACTTAAAATACATGGATGATAAAGTTTCAAGTGTTCAAGTGAAATCTTGTATTTCATTTTGAAACATTTAATATGGGGCTGCTAAACTATTCTTTTTATATAATCCAATCTCTAATGTCAGATTTTATTTAAGATTTGATATGTCACATAATAAAAGTAGAACAAGAATTGATCAATTATTTCATAACCAGAATTTATTGATTAATATTTATACTATTTACAATAATAACTGTTTCCCTTTTTGAAGTTTAATTTATTTTCTTAGTTTTAAACTTTTACATTTTAAAAATCTACCAATATAAAAGTGTTTGAAATGCAGGGAGAAAAGGAGAAAAATCAAACCTTTTCTTGAGAATTACAAAAAAACATTTCATGGTTTAGTAGGTAAGTAATAATCCCAATGAGGCTTCCAGTGTTTCTCTGCGACTACACAGCAGAACCTTTGGGTGTTTAAAGACAGACGTGGTGATTCCGGGCCTCATGCAGTGTGTCCTTCCTCTCCTCCAGAATGGCTTCACTCCGCTCTACATGGCGGCGCAGGAGAACCACATGGACGTGGTGCAGTTCCTCCTGGACCACGGCTCCAGCCAGAGCATCGCCACAGAGGTAACGACCCCCTCCCCCCCCCCCCCCCCCCACACACACAGACACACAAGCGTAAACAGCTTCTTGGGTCGTTGTTTACTGTGATGTCAGAGGTGAAAGGAAATAGATGTATGACGATGAGGATGATGAGAGGGAAGGAGGCATACAGAGCTGAGAGTGATGATTCATGCAGAACAACCTTGACTGTCTGCGGAGGGAGGACAGGACGTTACAGACCTGTGTGTGTGTGTGTGTGTGTGTGTGTGTGTGTGTGTGTGTGTGTGTGAGTGTGAGTGTGAGAACAAGTGTTATGCTGTGAGTGTGTTGGATCAATCCATCATCCGCTGTAGTACCGGCAGGCGGCAGACTGCCACTAAAATGTGAGAAACACGTCCTCAGTTAGTCTGAAAACTCATTTCAAAGGCCGGTGCTTATAGTAATATATGAATTATCACGCCTGATGCTTTTTCAACAGCAGTACTCATGTCATTTATAGTACATCTGGATTATTGGAAATAAAATGCCACAATAATTAAAGTCCCTTTTAAAACATGTGATGCTATAGTGACTAAATAACGGACAGCAGGACAATGTGTGTGTGTGCGTGTGTGTGTGTGTGTGTGTTCGTGCTGACCTCACTTCTCCTGTCACCTCGCCTTGCTTCTCTCCTTCATCAATCCTCCTTTTGTCTTCCTCCTGCTCCTCCTCGTCTTCTTTCCTCTTCAGTCTTCTTCAGCAGGAGACATGAGTGAATTATTCATGTGAGGAAATGTATATCCTCGTTTGAAGCAACTCACAGTGTTTAATAATTCATGTTTACCTATTTCAGAATAGCATGAGGCCGAACAGATAAAAAAAATGTATTTGTATTTGATCTTTTTTATTGCAGATATTGTTTTTTTTGTTCTTTAAAACAGACATAATATCGCGGCAGCTTATTCTCTTCATGATTTGATGCTACTGCAACATAAGGTTGCTGATCTATTTATGTAATTATGTTTAATGGTCTAATGATGATTATTTTGTGTTATTTCACTAGGGGAAAGTTTAGATTTTTTAAATTTTGCTGCGTCATCGTTCGCGCAAGATTTCAAGCTGAACTGACTCTTTGTCTTCTCCCGAATCCCAAATGGATAAAACTGGAGGGTCACGCTCTGAGACAGGCTGCATTTATGCACACTAAAACATCTGTGTGGCTGCAGACATGATGGTGCGCTCGGATGGGTGTTTGTGTGTTTGCTTTGTTGTTTATGTTCTTGCCCGCACAGTTTTGTGTGCATGATCTCTGGGGGAGCTTCTGCTTTCATGTGTGGGTGTAGCGATGCTGCTGAGTTGGTTTTCTCTAGACAGCCGGCGTCCTGTGTAAACACACACACACACACACACATGGTGTCGGTGTTGTTTTACTAGTGGGAAATCTTTCCTTTTCTTTGATGATTCATAGATGCTGCTGCTTTGCGTCTCATTTGTTATATGTACTGTTTGAATGAAGACGTTTGCAGGAGGACGCAGTTAATGTCATCCTGTCTGCTTCTCGGTTGGCGCCCATTAGCAACATGATTTCCTTTCTGTTTGTTCTTTAGTGGGACACTTATCTTCAACTCGAGCACTTAAAACTCTTCAGAGCATTAACTTAAATGCTGAAATTGACAAAGTCTCATTATATTGCCCTTCGCTTGTTCTGAGTGTTGTCACACACAACTGTTTGAATGATGTCCTACTTAAAATGTAACTGATATTTTCAGTGCGTTTTTCTTGGAAAGTCCACAAACCCGAGCGTAAAAAGTACACAAGCCATGTTACTCAAGCAAAGAATTTACTGGACAAATAAGATTTCCCCTGGACATGAACAGCGGTCTCCTGGGTGAAAGTCCGACTCATCATCCTGCATGTGGGGATCATTCGCGTCCTGCCGTCAGCTGACCCTGGAGCGCTCACCTGCCTTTTTGTATTGCGCGCCCTCAGGACGGTTTCACGCCGCTGGCGGTGGCGTTGCAGCAGGGCCACGACCAGGTGGTCTCACTCCTGCTGGAGAACGACACCAAGGGGAAAGTCCGCCTGCCGGCGCTGCACATCGCCGCGCGCAAGGACGACACCAAGGCCGCCGCCTTGCTCCTGCAGAGCGACCACAACGCCGACGTGGAGTCCAAGGTACGTCCTCTAGGACCGCGACCCGCTGACAGAATGTTTGTGATTTTAATACTTTTTAAGTTCTTGAGTCCGATCCCTTTTTAATCTTTTGTGAATTGACCACTTCAATCAAAGAAATTCAGATTAATTCAAATTTGTCTCCAGCGAATAGAGTAAGATTGAGTGTCTCACTCCGCCGGTTGTGTGTCTCTCTGTGGTTGCTTTCTGGTTCTTCCTTGTACGTCCGGCCATGTTCTCATTTATCCATCCTACAGCTTGGTGCAACTGTGGTGTTGGTGTTGTAGTTGGTGTGGTGCACTAACCACCCCATCTTCTCCTCCTCCCTCCTCTATTTGTTCCTTTTGGTTACCCACTGCTCCCCTTTTGCCTTCTAGATGATGGTGAATAGAACAACAGAGGTACTTCTTCTCTTCCTCTTCTCCCCTTCCTCTCCTGTCATTGTTCCCTCGTTGTCACCATTGCGAAGCCAAAGCCTTCTGTCTGCTAGCATGAACGCTAGCTGCTAGCATGAACGCTTACGCCGCTGACGGCGTCTCACCTTCTGTTATTAAAACCAGCAGTTCAGCCAACAGCATCACTGACTTTCACATGGTTCGTTCAGCATAATGTACATTTCCACGGCTCTGGTTCTTTCTGTACAACAGCAGTCCTGCAGCTTCTCCTGGATTGTATATTTATAACAACAACAAAAACCTGTTTCATCCATAAATTCCACTATTTTCCAACCAACACGGAGCTGCCATCAGTTCAACAGTTCACTTTAAAGGCACACGAACAGGCTGAAATACCTTTATTGGGAAGATGGCAGAGAGAAATGTCCGTTGAATTGACTGGAATGTGTAGGAGGATGAAAACAGCGAGATAAATGTGAGTCGGGATAAAATAGTGCTGTGGAAAAATAAATAACACTTGAGGAAGCAAGTCAACATGGAGGAGGTTCACTGTTTGTTTTTGTTTTTTTGGATTTATTGGTTATTTTAAACCCCATAAAGGTGCAATTAAGTTGCAGTAACAGATTCATGAGAAGATTTGATGTGTCATATTTGGTTCATGTCCGGTGTGTAAAGCCTCCACCATTGAAGCGATTGAGCGTCCTCCTCAAAGTTTCAACTGTTCCTTAAATGTCCGCGGTAACGACCTTACGTTTGGTACTGAGGGATTATGAAGGATCGAAGGGATTTATCTTTTTGTGGTTTGGCCAGAAAACGACCGGCGTGTGTTGCGTCTGAGCGTCGGATGATATGACTCCCATCCTCCGGGTTCCTGCCTCCATCTGCCGTGGTTCAGTACACGTCTTGTAGTACATATGTAGTAATAACTTCCATTACAGAGAATATTAGCACAGGTTTCAATCCTCTCCCCCAATTACGTTCCATTCCTCCATTCACAGTAGCACGTTTCTGTAGCGTGATTCTGCTCCAGTGGCAGATTGTTTAAGTTGAGCATCAGGTTTAATTCTATTTGTCTGCACGCATGTGACACCTACGCTTCTCCTCCAGCTCTCCGTGAGGGGAAGAACTGGAGGGCTGAAGTGATAGTGATGGATTTAGTTGAGCTTTGGCACGTCAATAGGTTTTAGTTAATTGCTTTTTTCTTTACAAACGTGAGCCTGAATTGTGCTGAATGTCCTTTTAAGGAAATGCTAATTACTGTCACTGAAAGCTGTTTCATCAACTTTTCATTGATCACCTCCTGGATTTATATGATCAATACATGTAGCATGCTGACATGTGTTCTTTGTTGCTTTTGAAGGTAAAAGAAAGACTGATCAAGATGATCTGATCAAGTTAACAATTTATGTTTGGAAGGATTATGACATTTACATTTATATCAATCCAAGCTGGTCATGTCTGGTTAATGTAATGCAGCTTTTATAACTAGACTGTATTAAATCTAAATGCATGCTCACCTGCATGTCTTTCATTTTCCTTTTCAGATGAAAGAAAAGAGTAGTTTTTATTATTAAGCACCTTTGCATGTTTTTCACCTCACAGAAGCTTAATGTGCTTTTATTTGCTCATTGTTGCGATTCCATCCGCTCCGAACCTGAACACCGGCAACGTCACAGAAATCTATATTCTACTATAAAAGTCAAATCCAGCACTTAAAGCATGCTCGACTCGTCTGCTCGGTTGCTTTTGGCCAAACCTGCTATTCAATATCCCATCGTGCCTTTGCTCGTGGCTGATGCAGACACGTGTTTTCCATATTTCCCCCCCTGTTAGTATTGATTATGTCTTTCTCTCTGTCTCTCGTCCCTCTCAGAGCGGTTTCACTCCTCTCCATATCGCGGCTCACTATGGCAATATCAACGTAGCAACACTCCTTCTGAACAGAGGGGCGGCTGTGGACTTCAAGGCAAGGGTGGGTGCTTTGGTTCACACACTCACACAAAGACACACAAACACATCGTTTTAGAAGATGAGTGCTGCTGCAAACATTCAGCCAGACTCTCGCATGAGGGCGGGCCGGTGTGTGTGTGTGTGTGTGTGTGTGTGTGTGTGTGTGTGTGTGTGTGTGTGTGTGTGTGTGTGTGTGTGTGTGTGTGTGTGTGTGTGTGTGTGTGTGTGTGTGTGTGTGTGTGTGTGTGTGTGTGTGCAGGAATCCATCAAGGAGTGCAGACATGTAATCCTGCAGCTGTGCTTGTCCCTCTGCAGGGGGGTACACACGTATACATGTCGCCAGCTATGTGACCTATAGACCGAAGGAATGGATGCTGGTTTTATGGGTCCTACTCAAATAATCAGTGTTGAAGACAGAAATCGGGTGTTTTATGTAGGTAAATGAAGCAAGCGCAGTGAAGAAATGCTCTGTGAGGAGGAACAAGTCCTGCGGGTCCTGAGTATTTATTTCCTTAAGGGACTCGGGCGTTTGGAAACACTACCTCTTTTATCCACAGGGAGCACCAAATACAACAAATTAGTTTGAAATAAAGTAGTATGCAATACGCAATACAGAATAACATCCAGCCATCTCTTTTAAAGGAGAGACATAATAAAAGATGTTCTCATAATGACAACATTTCAAAGATCCAACTACCAGAGACCCTTGTGCGGACTGTAGTCACACAATGATGACATAGTTAGTAGACTAAAATGCTCTCCACACTCTGGAAAGTGTCCTATTGATACATCCTCCTCCAGGTCGGCCCGATGGGAAAGACAGCCAAGGGAAACAAAGAAAGCAATAAACCGTTAAACTGCAACACTGCGGCTGTCGCTGCTGGAATGGTTACACCCCCCTAGAGGGGGATATTTATCCACCTTCCTCCCCCACTGTAAAATAAAGCCTCTTTTTCTCCATTTGATTGTTCAAATTTCAGACAAGTGGGATGCATTTGAAATGCTGCAGGCAGGGACAGGCTGTCTGAAATGTGTTAAGCGGCTCCGTGTTTCTCGCACAACTCGTTTCATAATTTCATTGTTACTCGACACGTATGTGAGCAATGAACCGTGTTTACTATCAAGTTCCTTATTTCGTCAAATGGATGCAACATAAACTTGGGCCGTCAAATTCTTCTTTTCTTTGTTGCCGAATGAGAAAGCGATGCTCGTCTTTCTCCTCAGAATGACATCACACCGCTGCACGTAGCGTCCAAACGCGGGAATGGAAACATGGTGAGACTGCTGCTGGAGAGAGGGGCCAAGATAGATGCACGGACAAAGGTACGCACACAAACATCTGCACTTTATTAGCTGATGTTGATGTCTAAAGAGGATGCCCTGCACTGCTGGAGGCTTGAAAATGACACACTGGATAAAGAGTATTCTCTGATATGGAGGTGTCATAACGTAGCTGGATAGTGTCACAAATCCTGTTTTACAGCTTTGACTTTGGAAACAATACTAAATGAGAATATTGATATTACAATGCAGGTGTGAACTGTCCCCCATCATTTTTTTCTTCTTTTTTTTTCTTCTGTCTCTCAGTTCAGGGACTTTCTCAGCCTATAGAAAGAAATCCTTAGAATGAAATAATGATTATCGCTGCATGGAGCTGGAAGGGGAGGGTTTCATTGTGCTGCTTAGAGGAATACTTCAACCTCAAAGTGATCAGTTACTCATCCCCATGTTACATGTGAATTCATGTTACCATTCTCTCAT